TGTCTTTGCCTTGCCTGGCTTTGGGAGCACATCTGGTGACGGTTCATCCTCTGCTTTACGTTTAGGTGGGAGCCCAGTCAAAAACGTGTCCATGTTTTGCTAGCAGTGTCCAAGCATGCCTCATTCATTTAGCCCTGCCGCCATACCACGCCCGCCCTGCAATGGATCTGCGCCCCCCACTTTGGGAACCACTGCCTTAGAATGAGACGTTTTCATCTACAGACACACTAACTCTAGATAGGAGCTATTCGTATTTTTTCCACACACTGGACGTTTAATAGCACAAAACACTGATAGTTTAGTTGAGAGAAACTTAACAGTCAGCAGCAGCTTCTCATTGAAAATGTAATGCAGTTCAATGAGGGTTGAATCGATTCAGCCCTTATGACCGAGGGTAAATCTTAAAAAAAAAAAAAAAACGCAAAGTGAGAAAAGTCTGAATACGTTCTGCAGAAAAATGTGTCACCAAAGCAGTTTCTAACAGGGATTATTGAGCTCTGCCACTAACATGAAACCTGCTCTGAAACTTCTCTGTGCAGATAAAGGTGGCAGATGTAAACACAACTTCCTTAATGTTTCACTTCGGTTTGAAATTGTTTATAGATGGTTTTGTATAAATTTCAAACAGTTCATGTTCTAACATTGTGGCTGCAGACACGCCTTGGATCTCTCTCTCAACTGTTGTTTCAACCACTTTATAAATAAAATCTTCATTTGGTCGTGAACTTGAGCATTCGGGTTGATGCTGAAATCTCTCAGGTATTTAAATGATCAATGATTAACTTCTTTATATCCCATAGATCCTCTCAACCAGAGGTTTCAGATGCTTTTGTTTATTAACCCTTTATAAGGGAGTAGTTTTTCCTTCTTAAAGACTGTTTGATTTGAATTGTTTTGAGCGGGTCAAAATGTATTGAATAGATTATAATATTATAATTCAGTGGTTCACAACTTTTTCCCTTAATGAACCCTTTCCATAATTTAGTAAACTGACTCATCTTGTATTAAAACTGAACAATGAACCCAAATAATGAACTCAGTAACTGCAGGAAGTTTGTGTAAAACGAGTGATTTGGATGACTTTTGTGTAGATTATTTCCTGTTTAGGAATATTTTATACAATTCTCTGTGTGTATTATGTATATTGTATCATTGTTAATAATCATACAAATTTAAGCTATTTTTTGACAAATTCAGTGTTTTCTTGTCCCTGATGCTTGTCCATTTTTCTGTTATAGGATGAACATTAACAATTCTTAACAGAAGTGAATCAAATGTGTGAGATGTAGACCTATTACGTATATTTTACTAAGTTTTCTTACACTCCTCAAAAGCAAGGTGTGCAATGATGCAAAATCTAATCATCATAATAATAATAATCAACAATTCCCCTCAAATTTTAAAAAAAATAGAGTAGAAAGTTACGATATTTGTGTAAAATTGTAGGTAAATAAAATACTCAAGTAAAGTACAGATACCTGAAAAAACTACTTAAGTACAGTATGAAGTATTTGTACCTCATCACACACCCCTAGCATTAAACCCAGCCTGTATCTGCCAGAACTTCCTCAAAAGATGATGATTGATCTGGTACCTAAACATATATAAAGATGGATGACATGACAGTCTTCCAAAAGTAAAGCCAAAATGGCTTTCTACCTTCGAACTGTCTGTTTAGTCATATTATGTCTGCCATGCGTCATATGCACTGGTCTTGATGTTGGGAAAGCATTCAATAATGCAACCAATCAATCAATCAGACTTTATTTGTAAAGCACTTTTCATATAGGAAAAATGTAACACAAAGTGCTTCCCCTCCCCCACACAGGTAGAGCATTACAGTAATCAAAACTGCAGGTAATAAAAGCATTAATGTCTCTGTATTGGCTTTAGACAGAAACAGCCACACTCTGGCAACATTTTTAAGATAACAAAATGTATTTTAGGTATGTTTCTAATGTGGGGTTCAAAACCAAAACTAAGATCTGAATCAAAGATTACTCCAAGGTTTTCTACTTGTTGACGGTAATTTAATGCCAGTGCTCGCAGCTTCACATTGTCTCTCTGAGTTTTGTCCTGATTTGAGCTGTAAAAAACTCTCTGCCATCCATTGCTTGATATCTTAAATACAGTTAAAAAGAGCACCTATTGGCCCTGAGTCATCAGGAGACACAGCTACATAAAGCTGTTTGTCATCAGTATAGAAACTAATGCTGTTTCCAAGTTGCAGCATTCAAAGGTTAAAAAACACCGCAATTCATTTTATAGCTTTTAATTCAATTCAATTCAATTCAATTTTTTTTTTAGACATTCATCAGTGCTCAGTAACAACCTGTTTATGTTTGATCCGTTTTAAAATGTAAGGAGTATAAAGTAGAGATATTTGTCTAAGAGATACCTGGAAAAAAAACTACTACCTCCACCCTCTGGAGGCGGACAGCAGACAGATGTCACCTGACAGACAGACAGTTTTAAAACAAACATAAATGGACGGACAGACGGGATCAGACGCCAGCAGCCGGCCTCTGCTCTGGTCTGGATTTCCTGCCAAACTTCGAATAGCCTGTCCCTGAAAACCAATAACCATGAGGGTGTGAAATTGTCCTGCCATCACTCTTTCTTCCTTCTCCTCCTCTCTCATTTTCTCCTCTAAACCCCGTAATCTTTCCCCACCTCTCTCCGAAGCTGATGTGTCGTCCAAACAATGCGAAGCAATAAGCAAGCAAATGGCTGTAATCACTCAGTCGATGATGCACAATCACCCGCTCGGCATGCACGCGGCGGGAGTCGCGGCGACCTGGCAGCCTTATCGATCTCCACGGGGGGAGATGGGGGGGGGGCAATTAAAGGCACCCCGACAGTTAACAGATGGTGAGTGACGGCGCTCATAAACCTCGCACTAAAAGACTAATGTCCTACAAGCTGCAGCCGGCGTGAAAGCCATAAACAACCCCGCCGCCGACTGCCAGCGCTGCGGGTGGGGAGAGGAGGATGATGGGAGGCGAAGGGCCAGCTGCTGCCTTTCCCCCCAAACATGGCTTGACGTGCGGGGGGTCCTCAGAGCCGTGCACCGAGCCCTGATGGAGGTCGTGGAGAGCCAGACTGCTCTCAGCTTTCAATTACAAAATCCAAATGGCGGCTGAACGGTTCAGTCTGACTGAAGGGAGCGAAGTCAGAGAGGGCGCTGCCGTACGTTTCTTTGTTTTTATTTTTTCTGTGACTACAAGGAAGGTTTCCGATCACACTGTAAAATGAATGACGGTAGATTTTACGGTGAAAAACTGTTAAACCAACGACAGTAAAAGACCGTAAACTCTTCTGTAACATTAAAACATCATATATCATGGCAAGACCTTTCATTTGTATGCTGTTTTGAAGGACTTTATACAGAATAAAGTAACTTTTCTGTATCACGTTGTAAATTGTCTCATAGCAAAACTTTTTCAATGTGGTTTTGATGGTAAAAACTTCTATTTTTACATTAAAATATGGAATAAAACTTCACAATCCTATTGTGATCAAAAACATTGCTCTGGAGCTGTTCTGTAAATAGTTTTCTAATAACAACTTCTGATCAACACACATCGTCTGGTTGGTCCCGCCCACATCCTCTTTAAGCCACGCCCCTTCAGAACACAGATACACAAAAACCCACCTAAAAACTCACCGATTCACTAGAAGGTGTCTAATTCAAAAGCACATGTAATATTGGAAACGGTACCACATAAATGAACATTATTTAATTTGCGGTGGATTTGATTTAATTTTGCCTTTTCCATGTGTGATGTGTAACATTTATCTATCGGCAGAAATGGAATATAAATTAGCCGTTAACGTTATTCGCTTCCACCATAGTTTGTCATTGGAAGGCTGAGCTGTATTCAGTTAGTTGTAATCAGCAACTTCACCACTAGATCAAAGTGAGTACTTCGGTCCACGGTTACAATGACAGTTGACGATGGATACGGTTAATGAACGTTCGGGGTCGTCTTTAACATCACAACCTCAGGTTTTTTTGAAGGCAGCATGAAGTCACAGTTCTGAGCTGAGCTGCATTTTAAGAACTCATGATGTTTTCTAAAATAAATCTCTTCCTGCGTCTCTCTCAGGCTGACGGACAGTTGCATGTTTGTTGTTGAAAGAGAGGAAGCATCATGAATGTGAGAGGAAATTAATTCCAGTCTGACAGATGGAGACCAATTAGACTCTCAGGCCCCTCGTTAAGGTGTCCGGCTGAGCCCGGTGTGTGTGTGTGTGTGTGTGTGTGTGTGTGTGGCTCTGCAATAGAGCTGCAAGGATTACCCAATTAATGAATTAGTTGTGAACTATTAAATTAATCACCAGCTATTTTAATCATTTTGAGTAATTTTTCAAGAAAATCGCGTGATTTGGGCTTCTCAAATCTGAATATTTTCTGGTTTCTTTAGTTAAAATAACTTATTAAGTCTATATGATTGTTAAAAATTATTAACCAAATACATAATACAGACATAAAATTATATAAAAAGTTCCCTAAACAGGAAATAATCTGCTCAAAATGAATCCAAATCTCTGGTTTTACACAAACTTCCTGCAGTTACTGAGTTCACTGTTTGGGTTCATTGTTCAGTTTTAAATCTAATATGAAATATCCATAAAATGCCATTGAGTCAGTTTAATAAATGAAAAAGGTCCCTTGAGGAAGAAGGTTGGTATGTACTGGCGTAGGGAAACAGTGATTAAAAATTTTTTTTCAATTGACAACAGACATTTTTTGGCCCAAACCACATCGGTTAGTTGCAGCTCTCCTCTGCAGTGGGTGTTTGTGGTTGTTGTTGTTTCCCAGTATTCATTTAGGTTTGTGAGTTGTGCCACAGGATTGTATGGAAGTTGTTTGTTTATTGTGCAGTAGTGTGTGTGTGTGTGTGTGTGTGTGTGTGTGTGTGTGTGTGTGTGTGTGTGTTACCTGTCTACCTTCATCACTCTCCCGCCGTCAGCCAACCTCTAACCTGATCTGACAGTTTTCTTTTTTTCCAGACACCGGGATGAACGGCGAGCTGAGACCCAGTCGCACCACGCCAGCCAAGAGAGGAAGCAGCGCCCCGGACAGGTGAGTCCTCGCCGCTACGCTGCGTGTCTGTGGCTCAGGTGGTGGAGGAGGAGGGCGGGACGGACAGCAGGTCTGTTCAGAGCTGTCAGATGGTTGAATTTCAGTAACTTCCCGAACTGCTACCTGACATTCAGGTGATTGGTCAGCCGTACAGAGGTGAGAAAGTGAGCTGGGATTCCCTCTCAAGCTTGTGGTGATCAGCGCCTTTATGGACCCACCAATCAGCGTAGGGAGGAAATGGCCTGTGAGGAAGGCTGGGTGTTTCTTCCCTGCTGTATTTTTGTGCGTACTGCTAGTACCGAGGAGTAGGGTCTGTAGGGTTTGCTGGTGGTTTTATAAAACAACTTATTTGGGGGCCAGATCTATAAACCATGCGTACACATTATTTTACACCACTTTCCACACAGGTTTCCAAATATATAAAAACCCACAGGTGGTGAGAATGAGCGTACTGGTACACATCTGTCACACCAGCCTGGTCCTCTGAGTCTTACAGTGTGATCTCGGATGTTAGTGTGAATTTGGGGCGACACTTTATTTCAAGCTGTTTATATAAAAACTTCACTAACATTGGTGTGTGTGTGTGTGTGTGTGTGTGTGTGTGTGTGTGTGTGTGTGTGAGTGATTAACAACCTTTTTGACAAGCCTTAATTTTATTCTATCTTCAGGAAATGTTTGTGTTATAATAATTAGTAAGATAATAATCTTTATATAGATAATCCAATAAAATACATGATCTTTAAAAAGCAGCCATTATTATTCTGTATTATTGAGGAATCAGAATAACCTCCACCAATTATCAGTCGTTACAGCGCCACTATATAAAGGCTGTAGCTGACTGAGACAGTGGATCGGCTGGAAGATGTGCAGTTTAGGAGCGAACGAGTATTTATCAGACCACACTCTCCTCCAGGGTCCGAGGCGTTCACAGCCGCCTCCAATCACCTCGATTCATTCTGTTGTTCATGGCAGAGCTCAGAGATCCAAATAACCTTTTCTTTTATCAGTTCTGTTCACATTCTGTAAAATTGCTCCTCTCCTTCAAAACTTCTCTAAATTCTGATCCTTAATATGCAAACTGGGCAGTTGGGGGTGTGTTTGCATTACTTCTAATAACATTTTCAATGGTTGTGAATATGTTTCGTGGGGTTTTAGTATCTGAAGACTTTGATTTCATGGAGATCTTAAGGATTATAATGTTAAACGCAGTGAGAGAGACACATCCTGATAACACTCAGTGAGTCTGTAAGTAAACCTCAGGTGTTTGAGGAAGAATGCATCACGTCTGTGCTTAAAGACGGTGTTATTTATTGTAGAGTGGCAGCAGCATTGTGAGCCCTGCGAGCAGCTTTCAGTGCTGGTTGTTTGTCTGAATCTGACAGTGAGTGACGGTCCAGCTGTCCCCAGCTTTAACCTCATTCTCTGTTTACATGGAAACTAAAGCCAAACTGTCCTCCAAATCCCACCACCGCCCGCCGCTGGACGGATTAAAACCGGGACGAACGCGGCTCTGCGGCGGCCAGAGCTGGGATTTACAGCCAGGCAGACACACGGCCAGCCCCACAGAGACCGCGAGGGATCTGTGGAGGGAACCGGTGGGAACGACTCACTCCACATGGACCAACGCTGCTCTCACATATTTCACTTCCTGCAGCTCAGAGAGAGACAGACAGATACTGAAGATGTGGAACTAATGTAGAGGAAGAATCAGAGCTCCAGCTTTTATTGTCACATTGTCAAGGAGCAGTGGGCAGACGTGGGCGCCCGGGCAAAACAACACAACACATGCTTGAACCGCCAACCCCTGCAGTCAGTGGACAACCTGCTATACCTGCAAAATACACAATTAAAGCTCCAGTGTGTAACATTCAGGAGGATCTATTGGCAGAAATGTAATATAATATTCATATAGGTTTGTTTTCATCAGTGTATAATCTGTATAGGAAATGCTGCAGCCTGCATGCTAGGACAAACAAATATAATGTTATTTATACAAATAAATAATTAAATAAAGGTTTTCTGAATCTACAAGAAGGCTTCTGGGAGCAGGTGAGAGTTATAATCGAGATCTGGATCCAGAGCTGTTTATACTCAGAGAAACACAAATAAAAGGAGCATTTATAGACCTCAGCTCGCTCTATCCCAACAAACACTCGCAGACCTTTCACTGCTCAGTGGTTCAGACAGATGTTATCAAGCCCTCCATTAGAAAGAGTAACATACATAATTAAAGGCTAAACAGCACGTATTTGAGAACATATGGAGTCCCTTCGTTAATCACATTAAGGACTTACATTTAACAGACGATGAAGTGGATGACTAATCGTAGTCGACAGGGCAGTTTCTGACTTCTAAATATTTCTCTTATTTTGCAATCGTTGTTTGAGTTTTATGGTTTTTAGGTTTTGTTTTGAATTGTATGAATGTAAAAGGCTGTAAAGTATTTCAAAAAGTCTCTCCTCACCCAAAAACTTTAAATTACCTCGTTTTTTAAGGCATTCTGGAGATTTTGTGGTTACTGGTTCATCAGTTGAAACAGTTATTGGGTGCATTCACACCTTCCTGTAAAACCTTTTGAGTTAGAAAAAAAGCTAACATTACTGTTAGTGGTGGTTAGCTTCTTTTAGCAACAAGTCGATCTGGAAAACTCCCATAAATCACCTCGTTACCACTGTCGTCAAACTGTCCTCTGTCTGTCTCTGAGGTTGTGTTCACTGGGAGGCTGCTGAGCCCCGTTCGGTTGCTGGTTGACGGGTTTTCTCCAGGAGTTTGCAGTCGGAGCTTCAGAAGCTCTCTTTTTCTCTCTATAAGGAAACTTTTGAAAAGCCAACTCAATCTGACTTTAATGAATCTTTAGACGACGTGTTTGAGTTTTCCTCGTGTTACTTGTGAATACTTTTGTCATTGATGAATGTTGGATCGTCGCTGAGCTGCTGGACGCCTGTTCTGTGACGCTCAGAGCGGGTTCAGTGTCGTTAGTTTTGATTAGGACACAGAGAAGGAGGCCGAACCCATCTGGAACACAACCCGGTGTGTTCAGATGGAGAAACACTGCAGAAAACACACACACACAAGGAGGTGTGTGTGTGTGTGTGTGTGTGTGTGTGTGTGTGTGTGTGTGGAAGGTGGTAACGAAGGCCGATGTTTGTGTCACTTCGTGTTTGATGTTGATCGATGTTTGTATGTTGGAAAGGTGAGAATAATTTCAGTGTGACTGTACTTTTGGTACTTTTCTCTGTTTCCAATGCAGATTACAAAGGCAGGACTGTATCTGCCCCCCCCGAGGGGCAAGGGAGTGGGGGGGTTATAATGTCACTGTGTTAAAGGTCTGTTTACTGTAGTCACTGTGTTTTACAGGATGTCAGTGAACGTGTTATTTTAACTCAAAGAAATTGTTAAAACTGATTACAAAACTATTTTAAGTAACATAAACTAAATAAGTTGAAAGATTCTTGATTAAGTAGCTTTAACTAATAATTTTAAGTGTCACTGAGTTTTTTTTAAGTTACAGAAATATTCCTGATTAAGTACTTTAGTACTTAAGTATTTTGTTTCAGTACGAATAAAAATTACAAAATAAAGTCAGTGTCAATTAAAGTTACTAAAATTTGATCAAGAATGTTTTTTAAACTTTCTGGAAAATTGGATGTGACAATGTTGGACAATTAGCATGATTAGCATTAATAATCACTTTTATGGACAATATTTCAGCAACTGCTTGGTCAGTATGGACAATACTGGAGTGGTTTTGCGGGTTATTGAGGAGGCTCAATCCAGTGTTGTCAGATTTATTAAGTTTATAAATTACCTAAAAATCGACTCATAATTGGCCCACGGGTTGAAATACGACCAGTTCAGGGTTAAACAACTATTTTATATTTGTTTTATGTCGGAAATAGATTCAGCATCCTCAGTAACCCACAAAACCACTATTGTCCAAATCAGCCACCGTATGCAACTTTACATTTCTAACATTTCCTTCCCCGCAGACAGTTTTAGTTTGCTGTCCGTGTATTTTCTCTGTAAAACTCTTTAAAGTTCAGTATATGTTTGATTTGATTGATGCTATTTTCCCATCTTGTAGCGCAGATAATGGCGCCGTATTGGCGTTACTGATGTGGGTTAAATATCTGAATAATCTGGTCTCATGATGGACTGTTGGGCTCCTCGCTCGGTCCCTGATCCTCCACAGTCTCTCGGGCTGGAGCCCCTCAGAGAGCGCCGCCCGGCCCCGTCCTGCATTTAAAATCGTTTTCCTCTCTGCAGACGTCCTTTTATCTTTGAAAGAGAAGCTTTTTAAAGCGGCGCCCGTTTTCTCTGACTTCAGTCTGACTCTGAGCTTCAGAGACGGAGACTCTGGGGAGACTCTGAGCTCTGGTCTGAGGTGCAGGAAACAGATCTGTGTGGGTGTTTTTATTACTCTTTATCAATGCTTAACAGCACCGGCGTTCTTCCACAGACTGCTGGATGTTCGCGGTACGGAAGAAGATGCTTAGCTGCTAAGGTTTCCTTTAGCACATTAGCATTTAGCTATGTTGGGGAGAAGGGGACAAATATTTTACGCCCCCTTTTTGGAAACCTCCGACACATATTGCAACATCTTAAATTAGAAAAACTAAAGCTAACCAGCCAGATATTCTACATCAATCAGTTACGTAGCTAATTAGCTAGTGCTAATAATTAATGTAGATTGGCTGGCTAGGTAGCAATCGTCAGTCCGAACCTCGGCCAATGGTGGCTAACTAGATAATCTAACAGTAATGTAAAGACACACTAGTTAATTATCTATTATGTAGCTAGAAAATGTGAATTAATGTTTCAATCCACTAACATTATGTGAATATCAGGAGTCATGAAGTGCCATTAAACCACTAAAAGAAGAAGAGGACGCTAAAAACGATAAAAAACATGATTGAATTCGACATTTCTGTTAGTTTTATGTATTAATGTGAGGAAGGTTATAATCTTATCGCTCCACGCCGAAGCTTTACTGACGTTTA